CACTGGGCTGCAACACATGGTTCCACAGAGGCACAGAGGGACAGGAGAAGGAGCTGATCCAAGGCCTGCCGGTGTTCCTGACCAGCTCCGCATCCTTGAACAAGTCACTTAACTTCTCTGGGCCTGTTTCCTGTTTTAAAAAACAAGTGTGTGTGTGGGGGGGGGGGGAGCAGTTCTGGTCAAAAATGGTTCTGAGCCTTTTTTTCCTCCAGCTCATGAGAGGGGGGAAAGACAGGGAGAGCAGGAACTCTTAAAAGACTGGAGTCGGAAAAAATACTTTAGAATTAAAGGTGCGCATTTACACATAAACCAGCTCATTAGACAAGTGCTTCCTACAAGATGAATCTGCTCCCTTTCCACCTAGCAAGCCTCTAAGCTTCTGAGTCCATCTTCCCAGCAGCTGCACAAAAACTGCACATGCAGGATTTCCCACCTGTCTGCAGCCCGTAGAACTGACTTTGATCCTGAATTCAGATGCAGTTAGTAACCATCAACAAGCTGCTTTGATATGTAGGTCCAGGGTTCCATGAGGAAAGAGGAGAGCAGAGGCAGAGAGAGAAGCGAGTCCTGTTGGGCCCAGCCTTACACTGACCTATTCATTCAGGCCCGAGCATCATCAGGTCATGCCCCCAGTCCTGCAGGTGGGATGCAGGCCTGAGCCTAGGTGCCAGCAGCGCAGGATTCTGGGGAGGGCTTTCTCCTCAGCTTGCAAGGCGTCTCCTCCCTGTGTCCTCACAGGACAGGTAAGGTTTTTTAATAGGAGAGGATTGTTACCATATCTCTATTGTAGAGGAAATAAAGCAACAGGACTTCCTTCACCCTATTCTCTGCTCTGAAAGCCATAATCTGCCAGCACTGACCAATTAATTGCAATACCAACAAAAAAATCTTAGTAACCCAACCTGGTACTTCCGTCAGCAGACCTTACTACTCCCTCTCCTTACTTATGCTTTCCCTGGACATATAAGGTTTGGATGAAACTGCAATTGTTAGGAATACCATCTAGTAATTTTATCTTCATGGGCAAGCCTTTTCCTTTAGGGACGCCACAGGAAGGCTGAGGCTCCTCCAGCCTCACTGCCCTCATTCCTCTTCCTCTACCCTCAAGGCCCCTGTGACTTCTGAGAGTAACACCCCGCAGCAGGCTGAGGGTCCTTCCTGGTGGATGGAAGAATGTCAGAAGGGGAACAGGACCAAAGGGCAGTTTAAGGGGAAGAGGGGAACGCCAAAGACCAAATCAGAGAAAGTGGGAAGCGGCGCTGGGACACCAGTGGCTTCTCTTCTCCCGTGTTACTTCATCCTTCCCTGTGGTCCCTCGGTTGGAGTAGCTGAATAAACAGTGGCCAGATAAGTACTTGGGAGGCCAGAAGCCACCTGATGACCAGGCCCTGCCCCAGGTGTGAGCACGGAGCACAGATGGTGTAAGGAAAACTACCCAAGATGCTCAGCGGGGAGGCCTGAGCACAGGACCTGGACTGCTGCTGGTTTCAAAGCCTCCCCACCTGGAGCAGGGAGAAAGCAGAAGTGGGAGAAGGACCTGCCGAGACCACACACTTGAGAAGGGTATAAAATTCTTTATGGAAGACCCCTCCTCAACCACCCACCATGAGGTGTTCTGGCACCTCGAGAGCGGTGCTTACAAGCACCACTCTGGCAGTCAATACACTCTGGCTTTAAGCCACTGCATCAAAGAAACATTGTCACCTGGTGTAAGTTTACAGAGCCCAACCATAGAATCCGATCATCCACACAAGGCCGGTGCTGCCTGCCCACTGTCAGCTAAAATGTTCATCAAACTCTGCCTCCAGGGAGGTGCCAAGAGATCGACACCTTCACCACCACCCCCATGTCCCACCTGCCTCCAGAGGGGCAGGGAAAGCAGGGCCTTGATGTCCAACTCAACTGAGCTGAACACCAGCCAGCTTTTCCTAAGTGCAAGGCCTTGGCCGCGTCTGAGCTGAAACTTCCTCAAACGTAAATCAGGAATGCCACCCACTTGGCAGGATTAAGACTGCTGTGGCCTGTCTGTGTGGAGCTAATCTGGTGCCCAGCACACTGCGGTCACTCATGGTTTGGTGGTGCTATTTTGACTGCCTTCGCACTCCCCCAAAGCAAGCACCCTCGTGGGTTTTTTTGTTTTGTTGCTGCTGCTGTTGTTTTAGGAATACTCAAATCACATGTTCAAACATGACTACCCAAACTCTTTCAGCCAGGAAGTATAATGAAAGGAATTCCTAAGATCATTCACAGATCCTGAAACTAATGGAAGCATAAAATCAGATGCAGGGACAGCACAATCCCCCTTCCTCCAGCCAGTCCCTCACTGCACATTGCAGGTTCAGTCAAGAGACTTAAATCAGTTTCCCTCAGCCCCCTGGGTCCCTTGGGGAAGGAGATAACTATGTCCTAACAGCTACCCATCAGAAGCAGCTGCTCTAAAGCTAGGCTGTCTGCTGCCCCTTCCCTGAGAAGGACAGGGGAGAAGAGGTCTCAGCTTAGCTGGGAAAGTAGATAACCTTGGAAAGCAGATCAAGGAAGATTTAGGACATCCCCTTCCTCTGACTCAAACATCAGCTCAGCCCCACGGTGGGCCTTGGTCAGCCCTGTCCCACTATAGCACCTCTCCTGCTCTACCTTCAGATTTGACCCCAACAATGTTTTGTTAATATAAATGAAAGTCTTGTGAAAGAGCAAGGCTGAGATTCACCCAGGCCCCTTTCCCTACCAGCTTCATTTTAAGCAACTGCTCTTCTTTCCTGAGTCTAGTAACAGGAGGACACATGCTTTCCCCACCTGAATCCACAGTTGTGAATGAGCATCACACCTGGATTCCCCACAAAGCTCATGTTTGGAACCCTCCCAATGCCTGTGCCCAGCCTTCCGGCAGCCTGAGAGTCACACATGTCAAAATAGACAGTAACACACACACAGAAGAGCCATGTGTGTACAAACGCACCTGTGCTGATTTCCCAGCACAGTCCAGAAACAAAATCAGACACCAACTGACAGCGCTTCTGGAGCTGGGTGGCCCAGCAGAGCTGGGCACAAAGAAGATTCAGTGTGGAAGTAAAGTGAAAGGAGATGCAGGGGAGGGGCAGGTCTGCTGCTGACCTCGAGAGGGGAGAGGCCCGACTAAGGTCCTGCTGAGGAGCACTGCACAGCTAAAAGCAAACAAAAGGATCCCAGGAACGGAACCGGACGGCTAAGAGGGGCCTCCTGCTCCAACGCGGTGCTGCCGCTGTTGATGTTCCAGGAAGCTACAAAACTGCTCCTTTTCAACAGAGGGATCCTATCAACAAAGCACACAGAGGAAACCTAGCTAAGATGGAACCTGCCTGTACTGAGCGACCCGAAAACGGAAATACCTCTTTCCCCGCTTGCAGTGGGTTTGAAAACAGCAGGGACGGAGCCGGACGGCAGGGGGAGGGCGGCGGCGCAGCTCTTCCTGCACACTAGAGTCCCGCGACCAGAGACCTGCCTCTCTGAGGTCCGCGGCTCGCCTCTCCTAACGCGGTGCGTGGCGAGCCGCGCAAGACCCTGCCTGCGGGAAGGGCTGCGGAGTGACAACCGCGCACCGCGGGGCAGGGGGCCGTGCCCTCTTGGCCTGCGCAGCCCGTGTCCAGGCCCTGCGCCCGCGCCACGGCGCTCGCCGGCAGGACAGGCCGCCCCTCCCCGGCGCCCACCCAGCCACTTACTTTCGTCCGGCCATTGATCTTGTAGTTGCCCAGCTTGCCGTTGCAGTGGCGGATCAGGTCGTCCATGCTGCTCATGAGCAGCCCGATGGTCTCGCAGCCGGGCTCCTTGCCCTCGATCCAGGTGATTTTGTCACCCCGGATGTCCTTGGACGAGTCGCTCTTCTGGCTGACCAGCTGCCCGTCCGTGAACTTGCCGGTGTCGTGCAGTGCGCGCACCTCGTCGCCTATCTGCTGCCCAGTCTCCCTGCCCAGGAAGTCGTCCACCACGCAGATGCCGTGCTTGTTCATGCACGGCACGATGTACTCCAGCGCCAGCTTCAGCGCGGGCAGCGGCTTGGTCTGCCCGTTGGGCCGCAGGCCGCCGCCGGGGCTCAGCGCCTCTCCGGGCGAGCTGCCCGCTGGGCACAGGCTGGCCCGCTCAGGACACGGCGACCGCCGAGCGGGCGGCTCCTCCTGGCCGCGCTCAGCCGCGCCGCGGGGGCCCCGGGCCTGGGCCGCGTCCCCGGGGGCCGGCGCGCGCGCGGCCTCGGCGCTGCCCCGGCGCTGCCCCGCCGCCTTCCCGGCCCGCGCCCCGGCGTTCCCGGCGGCGGCCCCGGCCCGCGTCGGAGGCGCGGCGGCGGGCGGCGCGGGGCCGGGCTGCGCGCGCGGGGCAGCAGCGGGGCCGACGGGGTCGCCGCCCTGGCACACGAGCTTGTGCTTCTTCCAGTCCTGGCGCTGGTGCTCCTTGCAGCAGTAAAAGGAGCTGCGGCAGCGGCCGCAGCGCAGCAGGTTCTCCATCTTCCCGCACAGCTCGCAGTACTGCCGGTCTCGCTCGCTCGCGCTCGGCCCTCCGGGCCCGCCGCTGTCACTGGCCATGGCGGCGGGGCCGGCCCGGGGCCGGGCGCGGGGCGGCGGCGGGGCCGTCAGGGCGCCGAGCACCGCCGCCCGCCGCGGAGCCGCGCGTAGCTGGCCTCAGCGCCGCATGGCGGCCGGGGCGGCGAGCGCGGCCTCGGGGGCGGCCGCGGGGAGCGGGCGGGCAGGGCGCGGGCCGCGGCGCCACTCGCTCCGCGCGCGCTGCACGTACACCACGGCCGGAGGCCCGGCGGGCGGGGCGGGCGCACACGCGGCGCGCTCGGCGGGCGGGCTCGCGCGCCCCCCGCCCCGCCCCGCCCGGACGCGCCGGGCCTGCGCGCGGGCGGGCGGCGACACCTGCCGGGCGAGCGCGCGGCTGGCGAGGCCGCGGGGCGCGCTCCGGGCGGGGCCGGGAGGAAGCGGAAGCCCGCGGCGGCGCGGCGCTCGCCGGGTCGCCGCCTCCGGAGCCGGGCCCTCCCGCCCCCTGCACCCGCGGGACCCCGCGCAGCCTCGCCCAGCGCTGCCGGGCGCCGGGAACAAAGAGCAATGCCGGGCCGCGGGGGCCGCACGGCGATGGAGGCGCGGTGGCTCTTTTCTTGCCTTCGCTAAACCCTGTGAAATCTGCGGGTCAGAGCCCCAGGAAGGCTTGGTGGCAGCAGGTTAAATGAGGTGACCATGCCGGCTTCAGTAACCACGTCGGGCACTCCAGTTCAAGCGCGGACTCCGGGAAGCGGGCCGGGTGCTGCAGGGCCTGCTGGCATTACCCCTGCTCGCATTTCGTGGAATACAGTTCTTTGTTTTGCACCAAATGGAAACCTTACCAGAAACGAACCAGGGGTGCTGCCTTCCACCTGCCATCTGTCTTAAGAATAAAATGGCCTGCAAGTCGGTTTTCACAGGCTGACAAAGCACCGCCAGTGCGGGAACCCCACGCCAGGCTCCCAGGTGATCTGCATGGGCTGCAAGTCACACCCCAGTCCTTAAAATACAGACTTACAGGAGCTGCAGTGTGTACCCCCAAGGTAGAAGAGTATGAGGAATTGTTACAAACCACATTGCAGAACAAATTTCTAAAAAGGGGAAAAAATCCAGCTTCAGTCCCCAAGTGTAAGATCTCTTTTTCAACTACACATGATATAAGGCTTATTAAATACTGCTATGCACATAAAGGGCATCCTTGGAATCCAGATTGGAGAGAGGAAAATATCTCCAATTTGCTGGTCCTTTGGGAAACTGAGGAAAAAATTAAATTCACAGCTTCAAATTCCAGACCAAACTAAAAATCCTGCCTTCTCAGAACACTCTTGAGACCTGGGTCTACCCCAGATATGCATCCACCTTCCCCAGAGTGTTATGAAATTCAGTAAAATGTCATTTCACACATTACTAATCGGGCTCTTAATAAGTGTATTGAGTGCATACGAGGGGTCACATGTGTGAATCCATCTTGTCACACTTGAGCACATAGTTCAGTGTAGGGGGTGACATTTAAATAATAACACCCCCCCAAAAAATAAATAAAATAAATAATGACATCTCAGAGTTTAAACTGCCCCAGGAGAAGAACCATTACAGTGGTTTAGGGACATGGAAAATTGCTAGATCTGCCCTTTTTTATATAATTTTTTAATATTTATTTTTTAGTTTTTGGCGGACACAACATCTTTGTTTGTATGTGGTGCTGAGGATCGAACCCAGGCCGCACGCACACCAGGCGAGCGTGCTACCACTTGAGCCACATCCCCAGCCCTAGATCGGCCTTTTGCAGCAGTAAGATTCCATGAAATTAATTTAGAATTTTCTTAAACTGTAAAGGAGTTATTGTAGAGCTTACAAAAACAAACTTTTTAGATATGTACAAATTATGTATTTCATTCAAGGAGAACCTAATTCTTTATAGGCCTCCTTTTACTAGCATAAGTATAAATTGTTCTTGACTATTCCTGAACTGTTCTTACTAGGCATATTAATAGCACAAATACTTGATTCTTCTAAATTTAGTCATTTGTAGGTATTTTAAATAGTCCCAAAAATGTTTTAAAATTATTATTTAGGTCTATGGCATGCAAATTATTTACACATTTAAATGTACTCTTCTATTTTCATTGAAATCTGCTTATAGATGTCCATACCGAGACCATTGTTTGCAGCCTGACACAGTGGCACATTCCTGTAACCCCAGCTATTTGGGAGTCCGGCACGGTAGGATCTACAATCCCAGGCCAGCTTCGGTCACATAGGAAGACCCCATCTCTCTCTCTCTCTCTCTCTCTCTCTCTCTCTCTCTCTCTCTCTCAAAAACAAACAAACAAAAATGTTTGTTAGCTTTTTTTGTGGTAAATAAGTATACAAAATTACATGCTGAACATGTATATCTTGGAGGTACTTAACGGGTCAAGTAAGATTCTTGTAAAGTTTTCATGAATAGAGCAGTCAAATATAAAATACTGATTTTAAGTATTTCCAAAGATCCGTGGCTGCAGAATTTCCATTTACTCTGGCTTAATGATTTGTGAACAAGTTCTAGTGCAGCACAGTTCCCCACACCATGTGCTAACAGCTCAGTAGCCATTGGTGAGTTTGCCAAGATTCTGAACCTCCTTCAGCAGCTGAGTGGTTGCCAATGGCCCAGGGGTTATAAAGCAGGCTCACAGTGCTATGCAAGAATTTGTGATCACTTACATGGTGCTTGCTGTTAGGTGCCACATTCTGTTCTAAGCATGCTGCAAATACTAACTTGACCCATCGACAGAACTATGAGGTGGGTACTGACTGGACCCATTTTACAGAAGGGAAACAAATAGAGTGTGACAGTGAGTGTCCCCCCAGTCCTGAAGAGCATGAGAAATCCCGGGCTTTGAGGGACGCCCCCTGTCCAAGAGGACTAGGAACTGAAGGAGGAGTGAAGCTAAAGGCACTGCCCGAACCCATTGAATCAACTGCCACCAAAGCTAACAGCACCCCTTTTGGCACCCCTGTGCTCTTCCAGGAGTGTTTCCTTAAGCCATAAAGTGGTAACCCTGAGAACTGACCAGAAATGGATGCAGTGCTGAGAGTAAGTGCAAGAGGTAAGTGAGGAAATGGATGTAGGAGTGACTGTGACCCTTGAGGAAATCTGTGGACAGAACAGTGCCTTCGAGGCACTAGCCCCGTCTCTGCTCTAACACATTGAAGATTCACATCGACTATCCTCCCCTCGCAGGGCATCAAATACCTGATTGTAACTAATAGTCTCTTGTTTCCCCATCTGTGACAATCTTGTTTTAATGCATTGCAGAGAACAGAAAAATCAGATGTCACAGGCACTCTACCAAGATAAACAGGAAGGCAATCTTTGGGTTCCCGGAAAATCAACGGAGAATTTGAGCCATTTTCTATCTATAGTTTGGGGACACATACATGAAGATGTCTCTTCAACTTCGAAGCAGCACCTGCTGTCTGGGCCAGCATTCTCCCAGAGGCACATGTGTTCCCAGGTGCACAAGGCCACCCTGCTCCTAGCGCTTTGGGCAAGGCTGTCCCCCCTGGAAAACGAAATCATTAATTAAGAACTTCTCTATGTCCAGGAAAATTGAAATAGCCAAACTGTATCAGTCATGATCTTAAAATGACCCATGATCCAGTTTAGAATTTTATTAAGGATTGTAAAATAAGAAGTATAAAATTTATGGCCATTTCTCATTATGGTGAGTTTTTAAAATGGCTCATAAACTTGGGATTTTATATATTATATATTATATTAATGTTATTTTTTTCCTAGCAAACATTATCTTAACATTAAACCTACTTTTATCATAGTGCCAATTAGTAACTTATACCAACCCAAGTTAGAAACACAGAAATCATTTTTCTGCAGCAAACTGAAAACATAAACAAAGACAGAGAAAATGATGTAGGCAGTTCCATTGTATCAGCTCAAGCAGTGATCAACCTGCGCCCTCTTCTTCTCTAACCCTGTTCTGCCCCTTTTTGTTCTTGGTGGGTGGGTGGGAGGGAATACTAAACATATACGAACTTCAACATGCATGTGTGAGAAGGCTTGTAAGAAAAAGATCAAGTATTAGATTTTTTTCCTGGTTGTCTCAGGATTCTGTTTTTTGTGTTTCTTGAGTGGATTTTGCTTGACCAGTACCTGTCCACCTACCTCCCTTCCCCCACTGATTTGCTGGAGGAATGTGACCACTTATGCTGTAGATGTCCCTTGTTCTGAATTGGCTGGCTTCTTCCTGTGATAACCCCTTTGTTCCTGTAGGTAGTGAGATGGATTTTTATCACCCATGGCCTGAGTGCTGTGCATCTCCTAATAGGCCACATCTGGAGACACAGGCTGGCTGGGAGTTGTTGTTCAAGGTCATGTGACCACAGCCTGTCTCCTCCCTCTGAAGATTACACCACCCTCTACTCAGTTGTTCTAGCTTCAAATCCCATATTTCATTAGAGGTTGTAGAATAAGGAACTTTCTAATTCTATCATTCTTTCTGAATTTATTACCTGAAGAAATTCTACCTTATGGAGCCTTTCTCCACCAACTCTTGGTTGCCCTGAAATACCACTTGTATGTGACAGGGAGGGTCAATCCCTGTTTCTTTTTATTTCTCAATTTTCAGAAATATTGAGCTGGTGCCCTAGCGATTTCTAAAGAGGTTTAAAGAAACAGCATGAATTTGTGGATTTTCATGGCTGCAACTCTGGTGCTCCAACTGTCCCACGTGTCCTAGACATGGTCACATTAACCCGTGAGGAGTTCTTGCTTCCTGGCACAAGATGACCCAGACTGACCTTGCACACTCCTTGTCCCTGGCATAGACTGGGCATAACTCCAGAGCCCTGGTTACTTCTAGTGAGAAATGGTGGTTTATACTGCTGTCACAGGAGGACGCATGGCCACTGGGTTGATGTGACTTCTAGTGCCTTCTGATAGAGCCAGGATGGGGGGTTTCATGTGACTGTGCCAGGAGTAGAAGCATTGCTGGGTCTCACTCCTCTGGAGCCTTAATATAATATCCTCTTTCCCTCTGCTGCAGTGTCTCCGAGGGACACCATGGCCTGGCTGCTCATCTACTTCTCTCAGAAGAAATGCTCATCCAAGATGCTGCCCCAGGGCTGGCCCCTTCTGGCCTCCTCCCCGAGGACTGCTGGGCCTCCCACGCCAGCGTTTGGTGCCCAGTGCGGACACCCTGCAGGGTGACTCCTCTGTACCTGCCTTTTGCTCTCCTCTTGTTCAAGGGCAGGTGCTTAAGCAACCTTGGCATCACCGTCCTGCAGAGGCACACAGGCTAGAGAAATCTGGAGCTCATTTCTCTACTCACAGGTAATCGGGAGTTTGTACTGTTCCGTTTCATGCTAGTGCTGAAGGTGAGCGTTATTTGCACTTCAGATTTTATGGATTTGGGGGAAGCTGTATCGAGAAACAGTGATTTGGCCTCTGACTTTATACTCCAGGCCTGAAAGCCCTGTTAGGGAGCAGCTGTACCATAACCAGAGTGAGATCGTGTGGGAACACGTGAGCCAGAGGTGCTTCAGAGCAGTGATGGATGCTGTAATGTAGACCCAGGGTCAGAGAACTCTTCTGTGCAGACCCAGACGATAAACATCCTGGGCTTTGGGGACAGGCTATCGCTTCTTGTTGGGGGCCAGCAACTCTGCTGCTGAAGCACAAAAACAGGCATCAACAAGAAGTGACCAGAGCAGTGTGGCTGTGCTCCCACCAACTTGACAGCAAAAACAGGCAACAGCCAGAGTTAGCCACAGGCCGTAAGTGCCACCGTGCCACATACCAGCCCCTGGGAATGACCTCAACACAGATCAATCACAAAATGTCATGAGATGGTGGTATGCTTCAGCAGAAAGCTCAGAGAACATCAGTAGAATAATATTTGCCTTTTTAAGAGTTTCTCACTTAATACAGAAATAGCAGCTCACATCTTCCATTAAAGGCAGAAGGATGGAGATTGCTTTAGATCTTTGCCGTGTAGTATCATCATAGGCAGTATTTAATGGTGGGAAATGGCTCACAGTACGTTGGGACGTACTAGCACAGTTCAGGCATCCAATTAACACTTGTTGGTGAGTAAGCTTTAAAAGCTTACACAAAATACCATCTGTAGTTTGCAGATAGTGTTCAGTGTGCTTAGAAGAGCCTGAAGTGTGGACGGCAGTGTCCACGGTGAGAACTACTGAATGGTCTCTTCATGAACATCTTTGTTTTCTTTAGTTGTTTCTTCCTTTACAATTCCACAATAAATGTGTAGATAGTTTGTTAAATATATTTGTTTTGATCTGAAACAAATAATAATTTAATGGCTTGTTTGTGATATAGTGTAAAAGAATGAATAAACAAAGGACTTAAAAACAAAAGATGCTTTAGTAGATGGGATGCTTTTGTGGTTTGGATCTAATAATGTCCCCCTCAGAACTTGTTTTTTTGTTTGTTTGTTTTGGGGGGTATTGGGGATTGAACTTAGGGGCACTCGACCATGGAGTCACATTTCCAGCCCTATTTTGTCTTTAATTTAGAGACGGTGCCTCACTGAGTTGCTGAGGCTGGCTTTAAACTCATGATCCTCCTGCTTCTGCCTCCCTAGATGCTAGGATTACAGGCGTGCGCCACTGTGCCTGGCCCTCAGAGCTTGGTGTGAAAGCTGACCCCTGATGAAGCACGGTTCTGGGTGGGGCGTTTAGGCAGTGATGAGAACTGTGACCTTTCCAGCGGATTGATCCATTTGACGGATTCATATTGCAAATGGAGGACTGCGTGCTACTGTACACAGGTGAGGAGAGGCTGGAGGAGGTGGTCACTGGGGGCATGCCCTTGGGTGCTTTATCTTGTCCCCAGTCCTAGGCAGCTCTCTCCTGCTCTTTGCTTTCTGGCTGCTGTGAGCTGTGCCCTTTCCTCGGCTGAGTCCTTCACTGAGATGTCCTGCCTTACCTCAGGCCAGAGCAGTGGAGTTGGCCCACTGTGGACATGACCTCTGAAACTGTAACCCCCCCCCCAATAGGTTTTCCTCCTCTAAGTGCTTCTTATCAGGTTTTTGGGGAACAGTGAGAAAAAGCTAACTAAAATAGTTACAGAAAAAAATTGACAACATTTCTGAAGGCAATATGTTTCAGTGTAAAAAGCCTGAATTTTAGAAAAATAACTGAGTTCATATTAAAACTCCCTTAATACCTAGTGATCTTTAAAAGTGAGATGCCATCCTGGTCCTCAGTTTACCCACCTTTAAGGTGGGATGATATTATCTACCTCGGTAGTGTGGTAAAAGCTAAAAGAATTTACGTAATGAGGTAAATTCTAGCTTTCCAAACTAACTCCTTAGAACTGTTTTCGAAATTTTGAGTTTCTTAACCTATTTTGCCTTTTCTTTATAACCAAGTACAAAGTCTTTCTCTATATTTTAATTATAAATTCCTGTATCATATTCTCCAGGCCATAGAATCAAAGACCACAGGTAAAGTCAAGTCTGACACCTTTAGACTCTCCTGGGCACCTGCTGCAGTCACTGTGACCACTTGGTCTGAGCACAAGAGAAGGGTGCAGCTCCATGCACGAGGGTGCCAATCTGATCTTGCTTCCTCACGGCACCCTGAGCAGCCCTCCTCTTCTTCTGGCAGGCCCACATGGACCCTTCGGATCTTCAGATTCTTGTGTGGCTTGCACCACAATTTCTTCTCTCCTGGTCAAATTGTTGTAACACATGGTACTAATATTTGGACATTTGTCCCCTGAAAAATCCTTATTGAAGCCTAATTGCCATCCAAGCAGCATGAAGAGCCAACTAAGCCGAGGGCGAGATCTCGTGGTGGATCACAGCCCTACTAAAAGAGCTGAGGCCACAGTGGGAGGTTCTGCCCTTGTCTGCTTTAGCTCTTCTCCTTCAACCATGCGATGCTGCAGCAAGAAGGCCAGCGCCAGATGCCAGCGTCTTGTCCTGGGCCTCCCACACTCCAGAACTGTGAGCCAAATAGAGTTCTGTTCATTATGAATCCGCAGCCTCAGGATTCCATTACAGCAGCAGCAGTGAACGCATGGCATCCCGGCAAGCCGCAGAAGGCACCTTTGTAGATAGATAATGGCCTCCAAAAATATTTCTCAGCTCTTGACTTCTGAATGAGTCAATGATCTCATGTAAAGGGGGTTTGCAAGATAATAATGCCAATATTAGAGTAAATGTTATTAGTACTGTATTCTAAGAAAATCACTCGCTGTGAAGTAGGAAAGACTATGGAAATGGTTAGCAATATGGAACGCGCACTTCCTCAGGCATCCAACAGATTCTCCTTCTGCAGGGGTGGAGCTCTAGATTGTTTATTTTATATCCTTGCATTTGTATTGCAAAGTCCCAATGAAAAGTAAATTGTTTTCTGTGCTGAATGAATTGCAGCCGGAATTCAAAACAGAGCTGCAGAAAGAAGGAAGAGCAAACAAGCACCACAGAGTGCAGTCAGCAGTGAGGGCGGGGGACATGGCTGCCGCAGAGGAGATGCTTCCAGAAGAAGGTATAAAGGGAAATCCTAAAGGAAGTCTCCGTGGCCACTTAGGTTACCTTACGTCTCAGGAAATCAATTTTTAAAAACTTTTAAATTAAAATTAAATCTATTTTAACTGATACATAAAAACATAAAAAGTACATATTTATGGGTTGGGGGTAGAAATGAATAATAGGAGGAACTGTTGAAAATTAACAAATATGTGGAAATTAAACAATATGCTACTGAACAATGATTGGATCAAAGACAAATCTAAAAGGGAAACTAAATAATATGTTCAAGCAAAGAAAAAGTGGAAACCAAAACCTATTCAGCAAAAGCTGATCTAAGAGGAAAGTTCATAGCAATAAGTGCCTGAAAAAGAACAGTTTCAAGTGAAGGACCTAGTGGACACCCCAAGGAAGTAAATTAAGGAATTTTAATTAAGTAATTTAAAAGGACAAAGTAACCCCAAGGTTAGCAGAAGGGAGGGAATAAAGATCATAAACAAGTGAAGTAGAGATTATAAAGATAACAAACGATCAATAAAACTAAGACTTGGTCTTTTAAAAGCTAAACAAAATTGACACACCCTGTACTAAGGGGAAAAAAAGACTCAAATAAATTCAGAAGCAAAAGGAAGACATTAAAACTGATAACAGAAATACAGAGGAGGATGACCAACTCCTGCGAACATCTATACACCAACAAATTAGACAACCTGGAATAATTGGAAGAATTCCTAAAAACACATAACCTACCAAGATCAAATATTGAAGAGATCTGAAGTCTGAACAGCCTAATAAATGACTAAGGAGATTAAGTAAGTAAGTAAAAGTATCCATCAAAGAAAAGCCAAGGAATGCAGGGCATAGTAATACACAACCGTAATCTCGTTGCTCAGGAGGCTGAGGCAGGATGGCAGCCAGTTCAAGGTCAGCCTAGGCAATTTAATAAGACTCTGTCTCAAAATAAAAAATAAAAAGTAACAAGGACTGGGGATGTGGCTCAGTGGTAAAGCTCCCCTGAGTTCAATCTCCAGTGCTGCCAAAGGAAAATTTTTAAAAAAGCACAGGACCAGATGGCTTACATTCTAGTAAATATTTAAAGACAAACTGATATCAATTATTCTTAAACTCTTCAAAAAAAATTGAAGCATATGGAATACTTCCAAATTCATTTTACGAGATCAGAATTACCTGGTATCAAAGCCAAAACAAAGGCACTACAAGAAATGTAAAATATAGGCCAATATCACTGATGAATATGGACACAAAAATCCTAAAAAAAAAAAAAATAGAAAACCATATTCAACAGTACATTGAACAGTATGTTCACCATCATCAAGTGAAATTTATCCCTGGAGTACATTTGGTTCAACACATACAAACCAATAAATGCAATTCATCCTATTGACAGAATGAAGAACAAAACCTATGTGATCATCTCCATTGATGCAGAAACAGAACTTGACCAAATTAATTATTCTTTTATGATAAAATTCTTCAACAAATCAGGTAGATAGACTGTTCCTCAGCACAATAGAGGCCACTTGTGATCCGCCCATGGCTCAACAGAGAAAAGTTAGTTTTCCCTCCCAGATCAGGAAAAAGACAAGGGTGCCCACTCTCATTACTTCTGCTAAACATAGTACAGGAAGTCCTAGCTGGAGCAGTTGGGAAAGGAAAAGAAATAAGAGGTATCCAAATAGGAAAAGATGAATCAAAATTGTGTGCTGATATGATCTTACATATAGAACATCCAAAAAGTCTCCCCCAAATACTATTGGAACAGATAAACAAATTCTATAAATTGCAAGACACAAAATCAGCTCACAAAAATCAGTAGCATTTCAATATGCTAAAAACAAACTATCTGAAAAAGAAATTAAGAAAACAACCCCATTGGCATAGCATAAAAAATAAAATACTCTGGAGTAGATTTAACCAAGGATGTGAAAGATGTGTACACTGAAAACTCTAAAACAATGATGAGGGGAAACTGAAGAGACCCAAGTAAATGGGAAAACACCCCATGTTCATGGATTGGAAGAATTAATATTGTTAAAATGTCTGTGCAATCCAAAGTGACCTACAGATTCAGTGTAATCCTTATCAAAGTCCCAATATCATTCTTCACAAAAATAGAAATAGAAATCTTAAAATTCACATGAAATCTCAATCCTGAGCAAAAAGTACAAAGCCTGAGGTGTCACACCAGCAGGTTTTGAAGAAGGTTATGAAGATGTAGAGCTCGAAACAGCACAAACAGGCACAAAACAGACACATCAACCAATGAAACAGGATGGAGGGTTCAGAAATAAACCATATACGTTTGCATCAACTGATTTTTGACAAAGTTGCCAAGAACACAAAACGGGGAAAGAACAGTCTCTTCAGTAAATGGCCTTAGGAAAACTGGATATCCAAATGCAGAAAGACGAAAATTGTCACTTATCTTACCCTTTATTCAAGAATAAACACAGACTGTATTGAACCCTAAGATCTGAAACCATAAAGTGACTGGGAGGAAACGAGAGAGGAGCCCCATGATGTCTGGGCAATGATTTCTTGGACATACCCCAAAGCACAGCAATGAAGCAGAACATTGGGACAGCATCAGGCCAACAGGAGTTTGCTCAGGAAAGGAAACAAGAGACAGCCCGTGGAGTGGACAGAACACCTGCAAGTCACACACAGGACAAGAACTGATACACCAACTACTCAAGAGCAAGGAAAAGAAACCTAGTGAAAATAGGCCTAGGACTCGAAGGGCATCTCTCAAAAGAAGACATACACATGGCCAACAGAGATAGGAAAGTGTAGATATATGGGCTAGTGTACTATTTTGATACATGTACACATTGTGGAGTGATGTGCCATCACTCTGTAATCATCAGAGAATGCAAATCAAATCATGGAATTTACCACCTCACCGTGGTGACTGTTCCCAGAAAGATAAAAGATGGCAGTGTTGGTGAGGGTGTGAAGAGAAGGAGAATTTGCCCTGGGGAATGTTACAAATTAGTGCAGTCCCTGTGGAAGACAATATCACGGTGCCCCCAAAACTGAAGATAGAATGGCCATATGACCCAGTGATCCACACCCAGGGGGAACGAAATCAGCAGGTTGAAGAGACACCCACAGCCAGATTCATTCCAGCACTGGTCACAATAGCCAAGACACGGAACCAGCCCAGGAGTCCGTCCAAGGGGGAGGGGGTTTTAAACGGTAGGGTCTGTACTCATGGAACACCAGGGGGGGTCTGCCTAACAACAGGATGAACCCAGGTGTTGGGGGTCCCAAGGCTCCAAAGACTAACTTCCCCATCCCCCAAGAAGAGCCGTCCAATGGTGAGCCCTGCTGGCTCACATGATCCTTGCCATCCAATGGTGAGCCCTGCTGGCTCACATGATCCTTACCCACCAATCAGAAAGCACCCCAGCCAACTGTCAAACCGTTTAACAATTAAATTGTTATAACTGTCAAACCACCCCTGGCTCTATAAATATGCAGAGCTGTTCCTCAATAAATGGGCATGTTCTCCGACGGCAAGCCTTGATCGTTCTTTCACCAGAACCGCACATCAAGTGAATGAGCCACCATGGGACAGATAGAGTGAGGACTCGAAGAACATCGGACTCCAAAACACAGAGAGTGGAGTGGCCGTTACCAGGGGCTGGAGGGTGGTGATGGGGAGAGGAGGGAGTGGTGGTCAACAGACACAGTTTCAGCCATGCGGGAGGAGTAAGTCTTGGTGAGCTGTCATGCAGCTGGGCAATTAGAGTGAATCATGATGTATCGTCTATTTCAAAACCAAAAAGAGGGTTTTAAATGTTCATACCAAAAGGGCTGATAAACATTTGAGGTGATGAATTACTCTGGTCTGATCATTCCACAATGTATACATGTATCAAAATATTACATCAGCCCATGAATTTACACAATTATTTGCCAATTAAAAATAAAATTTAAGCTGGGTGTGGTGGCCCACACCTGTCCACCCAGCTACTCAGAGGCCGAGACTTGAGGATCAATTGAGCCCAGGAATTCAAGACTAGCCAGAGCATCATAGATCCGTCTGGAAAAAGCAAACTAACTAAAAAAAAATAAAAAACTGTGGTAAAGGAAGAAATGGATAGGATCTTGCTTTATAGAGGTCAGAACCAGGGCAGTATCGGGAGAGGGCCGCGGAGTCAAGCAAGGGATTTCTTGAAAGGTGGGAGAAAAAGCCACGTCTGTCTGCTGACCATAAGAGATGGTGGCTGTGGCTTTCCCTGAGATGCAGGTGGCAGTACAGAAGGGGAAGGGGGAAGGCTGCTCACCTGCTTAAGTCAGCCCTTGCACACAGAGGAGTGTGGCCCTGTCTCTGTGGGGTGGCTACAGGCCTTTCACCAGGCCTCTCAGCACCCATAATGAGCCAGGTCCAGTTGCTGCTCCTGCAGCAAGACAAATCACAGTGCCACACTCCATCTGCACGGGCTGTCCCACTTTGTCATCTGGGTGGCGTGTGTGCATGTGTGGACATAAGTACTCTGTGTGCAATGTGCCCATTCCTGTAACAGACGTGGAGTGTGCACGGGTGTCTGGTGCACAAGTGCTCAGTGTGCCATGTTAGCTGTGGTGGGTGATTTCGCAACAAGTGCCGTACATTGTACATGGCTGCGCAGGATCAGCCTTGAGCTCATCACACCATGCAACAGGTTCTTGTTAAAGCAGCATTCTGGAAAGTACATCGCACATGGGAAAGGAAGAGAAATGGAGCCACTGAAGTAGGCGAGGACAAAATGGCCTGTGGGTAACAAGTAGTCCCCAGGTAGGAACTGGGCTTCCAAATGCAGTGAGCACTTTGTGGCCTTGGGCTTGCAGAGGAGGCCTACCTGCTGCTCGCCCAGACGTGGGCAGGGAGGGCGTCTGGAGGAGGGCCTCTAGCAGCCCGCCCAGTCCTCTGCTCTCCCGAATGGCCCTTCCTTGGTGCGTTTAAATTCTCCTTCAGTCTGGAGTAATAAATCCATCTTCTCTACTGTCTTTGTTGGCTTTGAGCATAAACTTTAAAGGATCCAGATTGACCTTGACACAAATCTTCATGTTGTCCCAGAGCCACATGTGAATTAAGTCAGTGCACAAATAAATATAAATAAAACACAGTCACAGCCGCTTCATTTGGGGTACTCTGTACACAAACGTGATTCAGAGCATGCTGACAGCATTCATGATCTAAGACCAACCAGAGGGGCTGCGGGGGAGGCCCCATGGTGAGCGCTTCCCTGGCATGAGCAAGGCCCTGGGTTTCATCTCCAGAGTGGGGGCAGCGGGAGAGGTGTCAAACCAGGATCCTCACCTGCCCTTACAAAAGTTCATGAAGTTATTCACGTGTGAAACACAGTTGAGGCCACGTCCTCACTGAGGTCTGTTCCTTCTCTCAGCTGCCTCTCCAGGTAAGCACAGCAGGTACCATGCAATGGCAATGACCGTGCCGGGCACAGAGAAAGGTAACTCCCAGCCAAGCAGGAGGTCTGGAAATCAGAGGAGCCGGTGTCTCCCACCCAAGAACACCAAGGCACCTGAGTGAGGCCCAGGCTGGCGGAGACCTGTGCCTCTGTGTCTCGCAGGCATTTCCAAACCCCAAGATTCTAAAGAGTCCCCTCCCCAGGCTCTTCTCCAGGCCTCCACTGGCAGAGCCGCTGTCTGAGTTGGTGCCACAGCCATCCCTGGAGGTCCCTGGCTTCCTCCCATCTGCCTCCCCATCGGTAGACCTGCCAGTCCTCGTACTGTTAGGGCTCTCAAGTCAGCTGTGTGTCCCTCAGTCACCCTGTACCTGGTGTTTGCTGTCAGCTCTAGTGACCCACAAGGGACATGTGAATGTCACTATGATCTAAAAAGCCGGTGCAGGTGGCAGCGGAGGCTATGCCCAGAGCTCAGAGGGGCTCTGGGTCAGTCAGGAGAATCTCCAAGATCTGACCCGCTCAGAGGAGCACCCCGGAAGGACAGTCAGCACTGGTCAGGCCACCCAGAACCCACTCCCCACCTATTCTTCTGTTCAGTGCCATTGACACTCTTTTTTTATTTTTATATTTTAAAGAAAGTACATTTAGAATTAGCCAGCTGCACTCTGTATATAGATGATTCCAGTTTTGTTGGTGATGTCCAAAGTGTCACAGTCAGCAGCCAGTGGAACGTGTGCCTTCTTCTGTCCCTATGGCCTGAGAAGGGCCTGTGGCCATGTTACTTCAGAGAGCTTCTGTGCAGCCTGTGTGACCTGGTGTTTGGTGGCCTTGATGTCCACAGTGAACACAATGTGGAGTCATCTCCCATCTCAGAACTGGTGACAGTATGGT